TCAAAGTGTACAATCCAAACAAACCAGACAAGTATGGTGTGAAACTTTATATGCTTGCTAAATCTGTCTCTGGGTACATATATGACTTTGACGTATACTCAGGTATTGGTAAGACGATAGTGGATACAGTAACAGGGTTGATGCAGCCTTTAGTGAACCAGGGTTACCATTTGTACATGGATAATTACTACAACTCGGTTACCCTGACAGAAACATTGAGAGAACTTGGGGTGTACACATGTGGCACAATTAGAATGCTACGTGGCGCCCCAAAGGTATTGCAAGCTCTAGCCAAGGGTAAACTTCCACTGGATACCACAGTATACCGCCGCAAAGATAATACCTTCATTCTCCTGTGGAAAGACAAGCGAGTGGTTTCAATCATTACCAACATCCACAATGCAGACACTCAGCGAGTTCAGCGAAGGAAGCGAATTCGCAACCGAGACGGAACAAGTGGAATACAACAGGTAACAGTGAACAAACCGACTGCAATTTGCGAGTACAATAAGTTCATGAAAGGTGTGGACCACTTCGATCAAATGGTTAAATATTACCATTTTACCAGGAAAACTCACAAGTGGACCAAAAAGATTACCTTTTATTTCCTGCAAATGGCATTGCATAATGCCTATGTTTTGTACAAATACAACACAACTGATCGAAAAAAGCTAACATTGCTACAGTTCCACGAAGTGGCAATCTGGGCCCTATTGCACTGGGACACAGAGGAGTGGCCTAAAACATCATCATCATCTCAACACTTGCGGCACGCTCCAGACATAAATGATGACACAGCTCCTGCCAATGCTGACGCCATGCCAACTCCCGGACCATCTGGTGTGAGGCGGCCTTTGTTCACTACACCACCTCAAGATGAAGCAGACAACGAATCTGAACCCGACATGTCTGCCACACTGCCAGTTGACGAAACTGTTTTGTCAGATGAATCTGACTCTCCTGCAACTCCTGTTACACCTCCAGCGAGAGGACCTGGCCGCCCTATTGTTGATTCAGAAAATCGCATGAACTACAAACTGAAACATGAAATTTACAGACTGCCCAAACGTCTCAAGTGTCATGCATGCGCACGGTCCGGTAAAAGGAAGGACACGAACTATGGATGCAAGACCTGTGGTGTTGCACTCTGTGTTGTTCCCTGCTACACCAATTACCACCGGAAACAGGTGTATTGGGTGGTGAAGAAGTAACCACCCGCAACAGCTTCACTCCACCTACAAACCATCTGTTGAGCAACTTCAGGAATGAAGAACCTGAAGAAGGTGGAGTGAAGAACAAATGCTCAACTTACTGTTCCACAACCAGCCTTCCCTTGGTAAGTACACCTATTTGGTCCAAGTTTGTGTAGTATAATTTAGCTCATAGAACATTCTATTGTGAAAACATTGCCACAAAAATGAATGACATACATACAATAATAATATCAGAACAGTGAAATAAGTATAAACTTTCAAAGCAACGTTTCGCGCGTGTGTCGTCCGGTCACCGTTACCGGGAAACAGTGCGCCTACTTCCCACACTCTTGCGGGTGGGCCGGGACCATTATTCTACGATTATATTCATATCACCGTGTTGGGAATTTTATTGGAAGTCCATTGATACCAAAATTAAGGCTGTAGGACAATTGTAGAGGTGATAATAATCCCAAGAGAAAAAACATTTTGTTGCTGTTGAGCGCTCACGGCGACTCATCTTCGTAGTTATTTATTTCATGCTGGTATCTCTATAGCTTTCGTGACTTTTTTTTACTAATGTTCTTCTAGAGAATTTTATTGCGAACACGTTGGTACCAAAATGAAATACGTAGCATGAAAACTAAGGTCAGAAAAGTAAAAAGAGTATACACATTTTTGTTTTTACGCTTAAGCGATAAAAACGCCGCGCGCACATACGGTTGGCTGAGTGACCTTCGCCGAGAGCGCGAATTGTGAAGTGGAGAGTAGTTAGCCGCGAGCGCACTGGCGAAAACACAGGGGGGAAATCATGCTTGGAAAGTTTATACGTTTCCTGACCCTACTTTTCTATGTACGTATTTCTTTTTTATACCAATGTGTTCGCAATAAAATTTTCTATAAGATGAACTGTATAACATTTGTACAAAGCATGTGTAAGAGAAGCGCCAAATATAGAACCACGTCGCTCAGTCTGCGTTCACGGCAGAAACGAACGCATTGTTTTCGTTCGTTTGATGTTTGGCATGTTTATACTTGTTGAAACATTTTATAATTTGTATGACAGTGATCACAGTAAAATTCCCTACACAGACATATACATAACACATACAAATATTTCCCACGTGTTGGATATATCAACGGCTAAAAGGAACCCACTGCCACACGCTCGCCACACCCCCAAACATACTTTGTGTATTTTTTTTTTTACTCATAGAAGTTTATGTGATATAATATTCATTCTGGTACCAAAAAATTCGCAAATAAACTCTCTACAAAACAAAAGTATCCCCATCCATTTCGGTTAAAAAATGGAATTTATAGAAATATTTTTTCGATTGACGAGAAAAGTAGGCTGTTATGCGGAATCGTAAGAAAAACCAGTGACGCGTTATCTCTAATCGAAAGCGTGAAAGTGTTAACACTTAAAATTACTGTACAGTTCATTAGGCAAAGTTAGTTTTGACTGCCAGCTGTGGAAGCATCACTGGTTGAAGGCATTTGGCTTTTCTGTGACGCCTCACTTGTTGAAGGCGTTTGGGTTGCCTGTGTCACCTCACTTGTTGAAGGCACTTGGCTTGATTTTCGTACTATATAAGAATCAAGTGTAGCTTGCCTTCTGTGTTCACTGGCCAGTAGTATGATCAGCTCTTTCGTTCGCCTCAGGTACTGGTACATGTTTCCAACTTCTGGATGCGCACAATTGGATGAAAAATTAATTAACAAGTCAACAGAAGACATGAGTTCACTGTATTTTGTGGTCATTGGTGTTGGTTCTTCACTGCCTTCTTCATCCTCCATCTCTACGTCGACCTCACCAGTGTTGAGGTCACCATTTGAGGTCGACCGGTCATTTTCACAAAGTTGTATAACACGTAGCTTGTCCTTAATTGTTAGGACAACCTTCTTCCTCTTAACACCTCCAGAACGATTCATGCTGCTACCAGACATAGTCTTGGCCAAAAATGTTCAAAGTTACTATGAAACTAAAAAAGTTATTTAAAAAAATATTTCACTAATGGCGCGGCACTGTGGTGTAACACGAGGGAAGAGAGCACATGGGTTGACCAGGCATGGTCGGGTCCAGTCGGGGCAGAGAGGCACCTTACGTAGGCCGCCAGCAGGATAAAAAATAAAAAATTTGAAGGAAACTTCAGCCTGTGCAAATTGTTTTTAGGAAACTTGTATGGTATTTTTTATTACATAATTACTAGTATTTCTTTTGATTCTGGCTATGATGAATTGTTCTAAAATTAATGGCAATTCCTGTACTGTAGTGTACAGGCTGCTCCCCCATCCTCCCCCTTATCCCCCCAGGTGGTCCTTCCTAATGCTTCCCTCTCTCCTGACACGACCCACCTACCCCACCCACTCCTCCACCATGCATCTCGAGCCACAGGCAGACGGGATTAATACGTACGGCCCACCCACATGGCTTTCATATCCGGAAATTCAATGATTATCCGGCTGACTGTCCGGATAGTGTAACATCGGCAGCAAATTAACCGGCTCCGATTTTTATCCAGCTAAACCAGCTTTTATCCGGCTCCCATGGCCATTTTGGCCGGATATTAAGATAACTTTATCCGGTCACGATTTTGGATGTATAAGGGTGTTTTCCGGATGTTCGAATCCCAGATAATCGCGTAGTTCGCTATTTTCTAACTGGTCTGTTACATCTCACAATATCACTAGTCACTGTTTCGTCTTTATAGTACTGAAATGTCATGATACGAGTTATTTTTTGAGGAAAGCGGGCACATGTGTGTCTCCCTACACTTTCCCTACGTAACGTTTCGCTTATCTTCCTGGTGGCTTTCCCATGGTCTGAGTGATCTAGTATCCCCAAGTTCCTTGCTCCTCTTTAGAGAAGGGGGGACCAGGTAATGGCCTTTAGTACCCCCATAGGCTTATAGGGGAGCCAGGTTATGGCCTCTGGTACCCCCGAAGGATTATAGGGGAGCCAGGTTATGGCCTCTGGTACCCCCCATAGGTTTAGAGAGGAACCAGGTTATGGCATCTGGTACTCTGTCAGCTGAGTGGACAGCGCTTCGGATTTGTAATCCTGAGGTTCCGGGTTCGATCCTCGATGGAGGCGGAAACAAATGGGCAGAGTTTCTTTCATCCTAATGCCCCGTTATCTAGCAGTAAACAGGTACAGCACCTGGGAGTTAGACAGCTGCTACAGGCTGCTTCCTAGGGGTGTGTAACAAAAAGGAGGCCTGGTCGAGGATGGGCCGTGGGGATGCTAAGCCCCGAAATTATCTCAAGATAACCTCAAGATAACCCCCGTAGGCTTAGAGAGGAGCCAGGATATGGCCTCTGGTACCCCCGTAGGCTTATAATGTCTTACAAGAACCTGGCAAGGACTAAACTGGGTGGAGCACCAGAGTGCCTCCAGAGTAGCCCCTCTCAGAAAAGGTAGCATAATGTACCTTTTTTACAAGCTTTTCCAATTCTTGCAGAAACCAGGTTGGGAATCACCACTCATTATGAGAACTTTGTACTCTTTACAACTATACACTGATAACAGAACTGAAAATGCAGCTACCATGATTTTTAAGCCATGTAACTCTGATGGGTACAACAAAAATACAGTGGATATTAGTATAAAACAAATATGTATTTACACAAACATTGGTTGAACAATAACTAACTGCTAGTTTGCATTCCATTAACAAGGGATGCAAACTGGCAATTAGTACCACTAGAGCAAATACTTTTGAAAGATTCAAAAATAGGATTAATACAATGAGTTAAGACAATTGGCTGTAATTTGGACCTGCCTATTTGCCAGGGTTTACTTACTGCAATAATAATGTTGGGAACATTGCCTTGCTTGGCAAACACCTCCAGTCTTGCAACAGTCTCTTCATTTCCTACAATCTCAGGAAAAGTTGTTGGACGATATTTTTCAATCCTGAAAGCAGAAGTTTATGCAATAAACCAGTGTTGAATATAATAAAATGCCAGTTTCTGGGTGAGACCCAGAGGCTCCCTGGAGCTAACCGGGCTAATATGAATGTATTAGAACCTGGCATCAGTCAATGTGCCTGGAGTTCTAGGCCTACCGGGGATCACGAGCCAGAACCTGGGCCCCCTCAGAGGAGCACAAGGAGCAATGGACTATAGAAACCCCTGTGTAGTTGGAAGCATTCTATGTCTGCCATCGACCAGGTCAAGCACCCAGAAAGGTAAGTGTCCCAAAATAAACCCCTATTCTGGTTAAAATATTGCTACTGAAAGCTGAACTAGTGGACAGAACTCCCCAAATGAAAACGAGCAAACAAGCACTCCCCCTTCTCCCTCTCCGGGAGGGGGAAGAGGTAGCCCAGGCCCCCACACCAGCTATCCACCCTCTAGTTTTAAAGCTGGAAGCCAAAACTGAAAAAAAGGGAGGGGAGGGATGCCGGGGAGATTTCGGGTCTCACTCAGAAACTGGCGTTTCATTACATTCAACACTGGTTTTCTGGGGAGAGCCCCTTCAGCTCCTTGGAGCTACTTACCCAAAGAAAACACAAGAGGGACTTACCCCGGGAGACGGACAGCCCACACTCCTCAACGTGAAGTTGAGACAGGCTGCAACCGCCGACCCAATGCGACACAGGCCCGACTAGGCCCAGGAACATCATCAAGGTAGCAAGGGGCCAGGACCCTGTTCAACCTTTCAAAATCACCGTGCCCAAATGTCAGGTTACCTTACCTTGAAGTGATTTCGGGGCTCAGCGACCCCGCGGCCCGGTTGTCGACCAGGCCTCTTCGTTGCTGGTCTGGTCAACTGGTTAACCAGGCTTGCAGTAACCAGGCTTGCAGCCTGACGTATGAGTCACAGCCTGGTTGATCAGGTATCCTTTGGAGGTGTTTGTCAAGTTCTCTCTTGAACACTGAGAGGGGTTGGCCAGTTATGCCCATTTTGTGATGCGGAAGCGTGTTGAACAGTCTCAGGCCTCTGATGTTGACATCAGCTAAAGACATGTTATGGCAGCCAGCACAGCAAACTTACGAACGTCGTGGGCAAAAGGATAGACCGCAGGCTGGCTGGACCGAATTAGCCTGCAGACAACCTGGGAGACCCGAACCCTGGAACAGGGAAGAAGGGTCAACCCAAAGCGCGTCCGCGGCCACCGAGGCCATGGTGCGCAGGTAACGGTGGAAAGCCATATCCGGACAACACACGATGCACCCCCGGCATAACCAACTAAACATCAACAACCCAAGGACCCCTTCCAGAAAGCAGCAGTCTCATTCTTCGCCAGACGAATGGAGACGGCTGCAAATGAACAAATCTACCACCAGGACCAAAAAGCAGAAAGCCCTGCGCCGAAAGAGAGCATGAAGCTCCCCGACCCAACCTCCAGAGGCCAATGACAACAGGATAAGAGCCTTGGAAAAACAATCCTGAACCGAAGGAGTCATGACAAACCAAGGAGAAGAGAGAAAGGAGAGCACGAGGTCAAACAACCACAATGGTTCAGGCGGCGCATGTGCAGACCAGAGGTGAAGCAACGTACGAGACAGCTTGCGGGACTGTGCAGAAGTAACATTAATGCCAAACGCAAGCAGCAGCTGCTCCGCCAGCACTGCACAATACGAGGAAACAGTATTCGGCATAAGATGACGGTCCTGGAACAACCACGAAAGGAAGGACAAGACAACCCTATCAGAGACAGAAGTAAACCTATGAAGAGAGAAGAAATAATGGAAGGACCGCCAGGAAACTTCATACTGCTGCCAAGACGAAGCACGCAGGTGGGAAACCATCAAGGAAGCCACCTGCTCACCATACAAGTGGTGATAGACTCGAGTTATAAAGACCAAATGCGAAGACTCAAGGAAAAGATCGAACCAGCCACATAACGGACCAGACCAATCTGCTGAAAGAGGCGGAGCCATGGGAAGACCCTCGGGTCCGGACACCGAGCAAGCAGCGCCTGAAACCAAGGTTGGGCCAGCCACCAAAGGGCCAGAAGGACAACTCTTCCTTGGTAAATCTCCAAACAAGCCAGGACTTGGAGGAACAGCGGAACCGGGAGATAGAGGTACAGGTAACCCCACCTCAACCAGTCCTGCCGAAAGGTAATACCTGCTGGATACCGGCTGGATGGGGTTCTGGGAGTTGTTCTACTCCCCAAGCCCAGCCTGAGGCCAGGCTTGACTTGTGAGAGTTTGGTCACTGGCCAGACATTTATCACTTTAAATTAAATATCAAGACACATACATCATTGTGTGGTAATTAGTCCTCTTCACCATTTTGAGGATTTTCCATTAGGCTTAAATATTCCTCATTCTTACTTCTCGTAAGAATAGAATAGAACTTACTTCTTACAACAACCCCGACGGCCTTGCAGTTGGGGAAGGGCGCCACATACAATGGGAGATGCCTCGACCACGCCGACGCAAAGAGGTCCACCTCTAGAGGCCCATAGGTCCGGCAGAGCCAACTGAACAAGTCGGAGTCGACCGTCCATTCCATGGACAGGGGAATGAACTGAGACAGGCCGTACACTAGGATGTTGGATCCCCCTCCTCCCGAATGTGCACGGCCAGAAGACTATGACCAAGACCATGACCTCGAGAACTCAGCAGATGAGTCACCCAAAGCAACAGCCCCAAAAGAGCCAAGGACAGCATCGAACCCCCACGGATCAGGCATGGAATCACAGGGAAGCAGTCCGAATGGAGCCTAATCATCGATTCGCGAGTGACCCGAACCCTCTGAAGCGACATCCACACCACCGCGAACTCCCGCATTGTGCTGTGGGCCTGATGGAAGGATAGACCCCACCGCCCCTGGCTAGCCTGGTGAGCACTGGTCACAAAGCCCCAGCCAAGAGACGACATGTCCATGAACACATCGAGTGAGGGCTCGGGTAGGTGAAAAGGTAGTGAACCCCTAAAAACCCAAAGAGGAAGCCGGCGACGCAGCAATCGACACAAGGCCCCCATAGGCCCTAGCAATCGCGAGAGGCAGAAGGGACGTCCCCTGAAGGAACCAGAGCAGCCGATTAAGCCAAACCCAACCTGGCAGGTAGACCATCACATGGCAAAGTTCAGGCTCTTGCACAAACCTCGAGCAACTGGTACGTTACCTGGGAGCCCCCAGAAACAGGCAAAGGCGGGACTGCAGCTGAAGCAGAGCCTCCAGAGACAAGGAAGCAGTCAGAGAGTCCCACACAAGACCCATGAAGTTTTGTGAAGTTCCACACAAGACAAGTGAAAACGCGAGGTGCCAGATTCAAGCCGAATGGAAGGCAACAAAAGTGATAACCCTGACGCCCCACAACAAAACCAAGAAAACACCTGAACCCCGGATGAATAATAACCTAATAATAGGGTTGGGTGGCCCCTCCTCCAAAGGAGGAGGGGCCACCCAACGCCACCTCAGGCCGCACGAAACGACCCAAAAGGCCTACAAATCGTGGGACCGGGCAAGAGCAAACAACGCAAGTCTCCCTCCATCGCCCCATCAATGGGACGAACCGTAAAAGGGCTGACGCCCCTTACGTGAATCCGACCTCCGCACAGAGCGATCATTGCGCCGACCAGACGAAGACAGTTCAGAAGGCTGCTCTGGCTCTGAAACTGGCACCACTGGCCTACCACGACGGGAGGAACCCCGAGCCCTGGCACGACCCTTCCGGTAAGACCCCCCACTGCCCCCCCCCCCAGGAGAACGAACCAACAAGTCTAACATAGGACGACAACTAGAAGAAGCTGCCTGGAGATACTGCACCACCACACACTGCAAACAGCAAAGGACAAAAAGGTGAAGAAAACCCAAGCGCCAGAGCCCAAATGGATTCCACAGAGGTAGCAAACACCGCCTGCTGACACATGAAACAGGAAGCAAAAAAAAAGCGACGCCACGTCCTGCAGGATGGGTGCCTGACAGCTGGGTGGACAGCGCTTCGGATTTGTAGTCCTGAGGTTCCGTGTTTGATCTCCGGTGGAGGCGGAGACAAATGAGTAAAATGTTTCTTTCACCCTGATGCCCCTGTTACCTAGCAGTAAATAGGTATCTGGGAGTTAAGACAGCTGCTACGGGCTGCTTCCTGGGGGGGGGGGGTGTAACAAAAAGGAGGCATGGTCGAGGACCGAGCCGGAGACACTAAGCTCCGAAATCATCTCAAGATAACCTCAAGAGCATCGGCACTAGCAGCTTCATATGAGCAGACGCACGCACTGCCTACACCAACGCACCAGATCCAGGATAGGCCCAAACGCCCTCCCGTCTTCCTCAAGCCAGTCTGAGGACAGCTCAAGAAAGGAAAGGAACTGCAAAACCGACGCCAATAAGCCACGGGCGTGCAAGTCCTCAGCGACCAGGACAGCTGAGAGGGTGAGAACCTGCACGTGAAGCTGCACAATGCCAACATCCCGAGGAAGGGCAGTGGCGAACAAGCACGCATTGAGGTGCTCAAAATCACCCCATGAAAACCAGGACCACCATATGAGCCTCTCGCCACTCAAGCACGTAGGACTGACAGAACGTACGCCACACCTCCAACGAGAAAAAAAGGGTAGTCCACAAGCCAAGACAACTTCGGAACCTCATAACAAACCCAGTAAGGAAAAGAAGATCCAAACACGAAGGAAGAAGGATCCATTATGGAGGCATAATCCAGCAACACATGAGGCCGAATAAGAAAGACCGAAAACCTCAGGAAGGATGGGACTGAAGAGCCCATGGAAGCACTGAACCAAACCCGGGGAGAAATTGACACCAAATCCAATTTATACGAGGGAGGAAAAGAAAACCCCACTCCCTGTAACATCAAGCCCTGCTTGGAGGGTACAAAAACCCAAGCAGGGTCCAACGGGGCCCAAGGCCCCCAAGTCAACCCTTCCCCCCCCCCCTCCTCGGGAGCCACCCCATGAGGACCCGGGGTCGAGCCGTCCACCAAATCCCTTGCCTCAAAA